TAGTTCTCAGCACAGGTCTGCTTTGGGAGTGTTGCCTACCAGCTGAAGGCCAGATTGCATGTTAGTCGCCATCCTGGAGAACACCACCTACATCCCTTGCCCAAATCCCTCTCCTCTGGGACACCCCTACACTCTTCAGATCTTGTCACTTAAAAATGTCAAATGAGGGGTTGCATAGTGGTCCAGAAGTAATGCAAAGCATTGTGAAGCCTGACTCACATGGGAAGGTTCTGGGTCTGTATGTGGAGACCTCTCTGGACATGCCAAGTGTGCATGCACCCATGATCTGGGGCTGAATTGTGGCGTGAGGTCTCCGTGTGGGAGTGCCTGTCGTGGTGGCACTTGCTAATGAAAAAAATCAAGGGAATAAACTTTTATTGAATCAAGATGGTTTATGTTAATTATAAACTTTTTTTTAAATAGAGAATGTAAATATCACCCAAGAACCCAGCACCCAGAGATTGTACCTTTGTGGTCTTCCTCCCAATTGCCTTGTGAACGTAACATATAATTCAAATAGAGCCGGGTCGTACTCTCTGTGGTGTGCCGCCTCTTCCTTTTCATTAATGTGTCTTTCTAGGTCAGGGGCATTCATACAGTGTATTGCATCTCATGAAAACTTTATCTGTTTCCTACTGATGAATTCTGTGCCATAGCTGTTTTCTTCTTCTTTTTTTTTTTTTTTGCCATAGGATGTGTGAACTCTCTGGAGAGACAGTGAGAGGGAAAGTGAGAAATCCTCCAGGGGTGATGACCACACCTCAATCCCTTTTCTACTCATGATTTTTGGGCACACATATACATGTGCCGGATGTGTTTTTTCAGGCCACTGGGTAGGAGCTGAAACCATGCTGTCAGCCATGTGAGAGCCGCCACCTTAACCACCACACCACCAGCTGGCCCACCAGTTTTCCTTTAATAATAATAATAGGAACTGGAGTGAACAGGAAGATAACATCTATATATTTTCGTTCAAATGTTTGTTGAGCACTTACTACGTATTAGGTGTTGTGCTAGGGGCTATTTGTACATTGCTGAATGAAACAATTTTTACCCTAAGGTGTTGTATATAACATTATCTCCCTAGAATAATCTTTTTATCTTTTTCTTATTTTTAAAGGGTTTTGTTATAGGCCACATGGGCTTGTCGGAGAGAGGCAGAGAAAAGTGACAGGGAAAGTGAGAAATCATCCCCTGGCGGGGAGGCCACATCACAATCCCTTCATTACTCTCCTCTTGGGATCTTGGGCGTGCTCACACATGCATGTGGTGTAGGTCTGGACTCGAACTGCTGTCAGCCATGTGGGAGTCCAGCACCTTAGCCACCATGCCACCTGCTGGTCTAATCTTAAATAGAATTGCCTAGCCAATGTTTGTACAATTTAAACTGTTAATAGATATTGGCAAACTGTCCTAAGACATGCTTTTCCAGCTATGAATGAGAGCGTTTGTTTTCACATCTATGAAACAGGTTTATTATATAATTAAGCCATAAGAGCAAGGCCTCTTGGTCAGATAATGTCTTGAGAAAGTCAGGAAAGGAGACTTGAAGTGTTTATTGTGATTAAAGGATGAGGCCAGAATGAGAAAGACAGTGCACATGGCTGGAATCTTGCTGGCACTGAGTCTGAGGCACTGAGAGCACTCAGCTTGCCCAGATGTAAAGAAAGTGGAGGGGATGATGCTTGAAAGCTGTCCACGACCAAAGAGCAAAAAATGGAGTCACGGGGTCGGCAGGTGGCGTGGTGGTTAAAGGTGCTGGGTTCCCACATGGCTGACTGCCATTCAGGTCCTGGACCTGCGTGACTTGCTTTCTTGCTTTCCCTTTCTCTCCCTCTCTCTGTTTCTGTCTGGTCAAATTAAAAAAAATAACAAATGGAAATAAACAAAACAAAACAAAAAGAGTCAGACTCTGTATTACAAAGGATATCTGGAGTGGTATCTGGGGACGACTTTGGGGCCAAGTATCTCGCTGGTCACTTGTCAATGGATTTTTATGGTGCCTTTGCTCTCCTGAATGTGGTATAACAGCTGGTTCCCATGGACCTTCTCATGGCATTTGCTGCTGGCCACAGATATGCCTATATACCCAGACTTGTTTCTTTTTTTTGGAAAGGTTTTTTGCTATAGTGCACATGTGCTCGCCAGAGAGACAGAAAACAAGAAATCACCCCCAGGGGGGATGGCCACGCCGCAATCCCTTCTCGTCCATTCTCCTCTCGGGATCTTGGGCACGCACGCACATGCCCGGCATAAGTTTAAGCCACCGGGTCCGGGACTCAAACCGTGGTGGACTACATGGGAGTCCAGCGACATAACCATAACGCTAACTGCGGGTCCCTTGTTTCTGTCTTTATGGATGGCAGGAACATGGACCAGAACCTGGAAGGGTGTGTGATGAGAACTATACCCTACCCATCTGGTTCTGCCGTGGTCCTTAGGAAAGTTTAACATTTGAGGGTTCAGCCAGAGGGGAGAGAGATTTGGTAAAGGGCCCAAAGTCTAGAAGCAACTGTCCCTACCCACCTCACCAGGTATGAGACAAGGATCCCGACAACTGGACTTCTTAGGCTGTTCAGTTTTAGGACTTCTACATCTCTCACTTGCAGACTTGCAAAAAACCACTTGGGGCCAGCAGATGATGTGGTGGTTGAGGTGCTGGACTCCCACATGGTCAGCTGCGGTTCAAGTTCCCAGACCCGGCAGCTTGCAACTCATGCTGAACATGCCCAAAATCCCAGTAGGAGAGTAAAGAAGATATTGCAGTGTGGCCGCCCCCCTGTTGGGTGATTTCTCACTTAACATCTCTCTAGTGAGAGCACGTGTCCTATGACAAAGTCTTAAAAAACAAAAACAAAACCAAACCAAACCACCCTGGCCCAGCCAGGGTAGCTATTGATCTGTCAAGTTGGAAGCCCCCGACCCTGACCAACTGCAGGTTTGGATAACTGAGCCGAAACACACTGGGTTTCAGATGTGCAAGTGCAAGATTCTGATTGGCGGGAGGGCTGGGGAATCGTGGCAGGATGAGACTCTATTGAGCACACTGCCTCTTTCTCTCTTTTTTATTAAACAAACAAAACAACGGCAACAAACATTCCAGCTGCCTCTGGGTAGTTCTTAGGAAGGGCTGATCTTGGCCTCACAATTACCTGTGGGTTGAGTTAGGCAGACACTACCATGTAACACTTGAGAAAAAGATCTTCAGTAATTTGCTCAAGGTGGCATGGCAGGGCTAGGACTAGTACCCACATTTTCTCACTAACTCAGTACCCTGTCCTTGGTTTCCCATGGGCCAATGAGACAAGCCCCTGTCAAATGGTACCTACTGTGGTTTTAAGGAATTTTCTCAATGAGAACACTTTGTTGACAATGAGACACATAAACTACTAGGAAACAGTGCCTTTCTTTTTTTTTTTTGAGAGAGATTTTTGCTATAGGGTGCGTGCGCTCGCCAGACAAACAAAGACAGAGAGACAGAAAACGAGAAATCACCCCCCAGAGGGGATGGTCACGCCACAATCCCTTCTCCATTCTCCTCTCGTGGTCTTGGGCACACACGCACACGTGCCCGGTGTGAGTTTTAAGCCACCGGTCCAGGAAGCGAACCGTGGTCGACTACGTGGGAGTCCAGCGACATAGCCATTGCACTAACTGCTGGTTCCCGGAAACAGTGCCTTTCTAAAGACTGCTTCTTTGGGAGTTTATTAGTGCTGTATCCCTAACTTACTCTCCTCCACTCACCATTTCCTCTGCTCCCCTGTTCCTTTTTCTCTAAGTACAGAAATACAGTTAAGATAGTTACTGATTTTTCGACTTCAGGATGGTGCAAAAGCTATATGCATTTAGTAGCAGCCATACCAAATTTTGAATTTTGATCTCCTAGGCTAGCAAAATGCAAAAATATCATTCTGTTTTTCACTTTTAGTTCAGTATCAGTGACTCATGAGTCACTGCTTCATTATAAAGTAGTCCTGGTGTTAGATAAGCTTGCCAAACTGTAAGCTAATGTAAGTATTCTGAGCACATTTGAGGTAGGTTAGACTAAGCTATGATGTTCAATAGGTTATGTATGAAGTGGATTTTCGACAGGGTATCTTCAATTCACCACTCGCCTATGGAATGTAACCCCATCACAGGTCTAGGAGCATTTATTGATGCATGTGATTGCAGGTGGCGATGGGACTGTTTTGGGGTTCCAGTCCTACTGAGAAAGGCTACAAAAGGGAACCAGTAGTTAGCGTAATGGCTATGTCGCTGGACTCCCACGTAGTCGACCGCGGTTCACGTCCCGGACCCGGTGGCTTAAAACTCACTCTGGGTGCGTGTGCGTGCGTTCCCAAGATCCCGAGAGGAGAATGGAGGAGAAGGGATTGCGGCGTGACCATCCCCCCTGGGGGATGATTTCTCGCTTTTTGTCTCTACGTCTCTCTCTGTCTGGCGAGCGTACGCGCCCTATAGCAGAAAAAAAATAAAAAAAGGCTACAAAAGATAACCACCTCTTGCCGGATATATATTTATTGAGGCAGGGTAGATCCACATTCCGGAGGACATAGGCCAGTGCACCAAGTAGGAGCCCCCAAATGGATGGAGATAAATGGAGGGAGCAATCTGCTTTGGTTCATACTTCTGGAAGACTCCACAGGCTCAGAGTGGACCTATGATTCCCTGAGAAAAGACGCCTCTATGCTCGGCCTAGCACCGGGCGAGGCGTGCAGTAGGCCCTTCGTTATATTCAGCGAATATGAGTTTGAGGAATATTCATTTTTGGAAGAAAGATGAATCAGCCATCAGGGACAGAAAGTGCTGACTATAACTTGGTCCAGGTCTTTAGTGTTCCGGGTAAGACTCCAGTCTCTGTTGATAGACTGGGCCCTCGGAGGGGTCGGGACAGTCTTTTATCCGGACTGCAGGCAGCAGGAGGAAAGCCCAATCTGCAGGGCAGCGGGCGGGGCGGGAGCTGCGCGCGCAGCCACTGGGCGGCTTTTCCCCAGCAACAGGTTGTTCCTAGCAACCGGGCGACCGTCTGACAGTTGTCCAACCGCAGGTGACTCCGGCCATGAATCCGCCCGGGCCTTTGGAGGTCCTGGAGCAGAATGAGGAGGAGCACTTACCCACCCAGATCCTCGGGCCCTCGGTACATTCCGATAACCCTCAGGAGCGGATCCTGGCCCGGCGCCTCCGCATCGCTACGCGCCAGGAAAACCGGCGGAGGTGAGCGGGTCGGGCGGGCTCTGGGCGGAGCGGGGACGCGGTGCGGAGGGCTGAGAGGTCGGCACTGCCTGGGATCAGGGCCACTGCCCCGGAGGGGGCCACAGCCCGGGATCGGGGCCACAGCCCGGGAGCAGGGCCACTGCCCGGGATGGGGACCACGGCCCGGGATGGAGATCACTGCCCGGGATGGAGACCACTGCCCGGGAGCGGGGTCACTGCCAGGGATCGGGGCCACTGCCGGGGAGCGGGACCACTGTCCGGGATGGGGACCACTGCCCGGGATGGGGGCCACTGCCCGGGATGGGGGCCACTGCCCGGGAGCGGGGCCACTGCCC